AAAGTTGGAGTTTTTCCACCTTCCCATTTTAGCACTTGGAGATGTGCCTTGGGGGCTGGGTTACAATATATTAAAATTTGATGTCATGTTGAGATAGAGATCCATTTGAATACTTGACAACATGTATGGCACACTAAAATAAGTAGTACTAAATATAAACGACTTATAAATTGTATCGGTATCTCATTTTTAGCACTTGTTTGATATAGATTCAAATCTTAAATTAAAGTTCAAAATAATTTTAATCACATATTTCGTAGAATTCATAACTTTTCAAACACACTTTTCACTAATTTCTATCAAAATATACTAAAAATTTAATTTTATTCTATATCAAATAGAGCTTAATCATGTTTAATATACAAACACGTTCTTCGTAATTATAATCAAGTGTATATAATTTGATCCCCACAATGTCAATAGTCAATTATCCTCTTTTTGAGGCATTCAAATGTTTCTACAACTCATGTTATCGAAGCTAACAACTTATATTACGACATAAATTTATAGGCTATAGCAAATTCAATCTCGATGCAAGAGCTACGTTGCTTGCCAATTCAAATTTTCCACCATAACAGAGAATATTACAAGATTTTTCTCACACCTCTCACCTACTCAAAATTTACTCCCCTAAATCCTTTATGAATAAGGGTCCATGTGGCTTTTGCTTCAGCTTTTGGAAGAATTTACCTTAATTTTTGTTTGAAAATTAATTTTCAAAATAATTTTCTATTTCGGAAGTGTTTTTGGAGGAAGTCACATTGGACTAATTTTCTCTAAAAACTCTTCTAACTAAAAGAAGCATTTTCATAAAATTGGTCAAATAGATCCAAAAACAACATTTGGATCTCAATGCTCCTTTTAACTTTTCCAAAGTCATGTCAACAGGCTCTTAAGAATACAAGGAATACTAAATATGTTCAATATATAGTCACAAAGGGCGAAGGAACAAAGAAGACATGCATCAAATATAGTGCTATATGACCACCCTTTTGAGGGAAATTCTCTATAAATTTTGCAAAATCAGATTTCTTGCACATTGAACATCACTACTGTACAAGAGGAGCAATGGCAATGTTTCAAGTCATTGCTTACACAACATAAACCATGCCAACCTCAAGGAGAGATGCCGGAGGCACCTTCAGAGCAACGTCTGGCCNGGCACCTTCAGAGCAACGTCTGGCCCCCTGCAATTCCTTCTGAGGAAATTATAACCAAAATTAATGGCCAGCCTCTTTAAGAGAGAAGATCCTTGTTTTGCCCTTACATGTGAGTGTCCAAGAATGAATGCAGTTCCAGCTTGTTGAGCTGCATACAAATCTTGTATCTCCTCCTGCAGTCGAATGTCCATTTCCGATTGTGTATCGTTCCCCAACTCGTTATCAATGGCAAACCTCACTCGTCGTTCCACAACACTGACCGGCTCCATTTCGATTGCATCTGAGATACTGTCTGTTGTTGGGAACCCGATGGACACGCTTGCTGGTTGTATGCTTCCCTCAATATCAAATGTTGGTAAGCCGGAGAATGTCACTGTTCCTATCACAGCCAATCGACACTCACCCGATGATGCGCCAGATAGAGAACCATCATCCTCGTTGCATACATCTGACCAATCATAGCGAATGAAATCAGCCAGCTTATTAATAAGTTCAGATTCGAAAGAGTCGACATCCTGATGAACATCCCGGTATCCATAGCGGACAATGCACCTATACGAGCGATGAGCTGGAGGGCCCACCCGGCCCACAAGGTATCGCTCATCTGGGGGAACAAATGGTACTGGAACTGATTTTATACAAACGAATACGAGGACACGGTGGAAGGCAGGGAGATTGGTGACAAAACGAGAAAAGTTGGCAGGGATACCCGATGTGAGATCTGTGAACACGAGGCCAATGCCAGGCACCCGAGCAATGCCTAAGCTCGGACCTAAGGCTAATAGCCATTCTAATGAAACCTTATTGTGGAGGTCGTACTCGTATTTCTTAATGGTTGCATAGTGCCAAACAAACATGACAGTGACAAGGAATAGCGCAAGGAGGATGGGAAGCCAAGCACCTTCAAGGAACTTTATCAGGGAAGCTGAGAAGTACAGTAATTCAATGGATCCAAAGAAAAGCAAAAAGCACAAGGCCACAATCGGAGGTTTGTGCCAACAGAGGATAATGACCAACGATGTGAGGCAAGTAGTCACCAGCATCACCGCCATTACGGCCAAACCTGAAATTCAAACATAATGCTCAGAATACCTTTTGTGCTGTTATGAAGATGTTTGGTATGCAATACTAGACATGATTCGACACTACAGTGAAAAATATTCTAAGTTCTTTTTCTTCTTTAACACTTTCATATGTTGCTCAGTCCTCCTTACCCAACATGTATAAATTTGAGGATTAAAATGGAGTTACACAAAGAAGAAGGTTGCCTGGTAAAATCAGCTCGTTTCAGAAAGGCCCCAAGTTGATTCTAATGATCATCAACTTAATGGTTTATTGCAAGAAGAGTCAAGTTGTGCATGTCCTACCTGACGCATTTCCCATGTGTTTCGTGTCTCGAAATCCAATAGTTACTGCAATGCAGAGAATCATTAGCGTCCAGTTGATCTCAGGGATGTATATCTGGCCATGTATCTTATCAGAGGTGTGAACAACTTTGACCCTTGGAAAGCAACCGAGCGACTGGCTCTGGTTAATTATAGAGAATGTTCCACTGATTATCGCCTGACTTCCAACCACAGAAGCAAGTATTGCTACCACAAGTACTGGCCATCTTACACTTTCTGTAGCAAAACATCAGGAGACAAAGTATTAACATAATAAGCATAAAATTCAACTACATTGCAGTCATAAATGAGTAAGGACGGACTTTGCTTTTGATCAAGATGTTATACAGGGAAAGCTGAAAAATGACCCTTTCATGATATAAATAACGTAGATCTTTCTGCTGTCTAAAGATGCATTCGCAGTGACAAAGTCATACCAGGAACTGAGACATAGAATCCAATCTTATGAATAGTGTGGTGATGCCTTGACAAGTAAGCTGCTTGACCCATATAAGCCAATATGAGTGCTGGATAGACCAAAAAGGTGAAAGCAATCTGCAGTGGAAGATAGGGACAATAATTTTAGAAGTTTAGGAAAAATATTTCTCTGAATTAGAAAAAAATTACAGAATTAACGAAATTTCAAACCCGAAATTGCAGTAATCAAAATGGGAAAAAATGGTTCATAATGAAGTGTACCTGAATTGCTGCATGGGAGAAGTGTCCAAGATCCGCAAACATTGCTTCTGAGCCTGTAAACACCACAACAACGATGACTATTTCTGGCATAGAACTCAACTCCACACGTATACATTTATGGCGAAAAACTGCGATTTTTAAAGCCCCATGCAAAAATATCCAAATTTTATGCGAATCTGTATTAATCATTGAACTACACTAAGTGAAGCCATTTATATTGTCTTTAATGATTTGAACAACTGAAATTATAATGCCTCCAAGGCTCCAAAATAAATTATTTTACTGGCATAAAGAAATCTTCGATCTGACGGGTTTATCACTTCATTGAAGGAATACCCTCTTCATCTATGGCTAGTCCTGCACTTGGTATATCTCAGTCTCTGCAATTGTTTATCTTAAAAAGAGTACAACAAGGCTATGCATATAATATTGCTTTATAAACTGATAAATTTGCTATAAGCCAATAGGGTCTGGCCATGGCAACCCACAGGTGCAGCTAACACTTGTATCTTTATCCACTAGTTCTCAGAGTTAAAGTTTCTTTTCTTATAAGAGAACTTAGCATGCTGGACAAGTGGGAAAGCATTATCTATGTCAATGGGAGCACATTAGTGACGGTTGGTAACATTAGTGGGATGCAAATTTTGATATACATTCTTTCATGCAGGATTGAGAATATCAAACTCGAAATTGTTCCTTGTAAAAATGTTATGAGTTTACCAGTAATACACAACAGAATTCCACCCAGCGACATCCATCCTCCTTTTCTCGTCTTCCTCAAAAACTTAAGCATGTAATATGGGGAAAGCGCTTGATAAACATGTGGATTCCAGTGGAAAATATTGTACAAGCCAAGCGTACTGATGCATAGCAACCAAATCAATACAACTGGTGCAAAACAGGAACCAATCCGATGTGTGCCATAGTGTTGTAAAGCGAACAGGCACACTAAGATGAAGCAAGTGATGGGAATCACCGCATCTGTGAATGGGGAATAGATACAAATGTATGTCACTAGTCCTCATTATTTCTTTGGATGGCCAAATTTGCCATCACAGTTGTGCACAAAAACTTGTTTACTGATCTAAAAAAGAATTATGGAAGAAAAGATCTAGAATAGCAACATGTAATGCCGTGAAAAAGGTCAAAAATTTTATGAATATAAAAATATAATAAGCCTAATGGCAAATTACAATTGATTTCCAAATCAATTTTGGTATTAGATGATTCTACATTCAATCTTAAAAAAGAAAATACCCCTAACTAAAACTGAAAATAACAAAAGTAGGACATCTTTCCAATATTTTGAACAAAATTTTCGCTCGAACATATTGTATAAACCTTGAATGATAAGAAAGAAGATTACATTGGTGGTGATCCTTAGACATCGACAATTCAAGCCCAGAAACCGCAGAAAAAACTGCATAAAGGAATTATTAATCGTCAGCAACTAAGACCAGACCGAAGTATTGAAATGAAGCATTCAAAACAGATGGAGAGTGATCTACCTACCAGATATTGCGGGAGTCAGGAGTCCATCTCCAATGACCATACAAGTGCCAAGAAGAACCAGAATTAATAAAGCAGTGTGTAATGATTTATACTTTTCAAGCACTAACTTAACTCTCGAGTTGTTCTTCGTCTCAGGAGGCTGCTCAAGTATGTACGTAGAGAGAGCCGCATCGGCCACTTGTCGGTTTGGAAGAAGGCTAACTTTAGCATGCCTACATATCAGGGAATATAGAGCAAAAGTACCACCTACAACAGTGCATAAGAAATATCAAATGCATGAATCAATTGTGGCAATATGTGCAATCAATTTCCAGATACTTACCCTCTCCATTGTCATCAGCTCGAAGAACTACGAAAACATATTTGAACAAAGGCACGAGAGTTAGGGTCCAGAAAACGAATGAAAGAACTCCGAAAATCTCTTCATTCGTTTCCGAGTGATGAATGTCTTCTGCAAATGTGCTCTTGTACACATAAAGAGGGGAAATGCTTAGGTCTCCATATACCACACCGAGACTCTGGTAAGCTAATAGCAGAGTGGTCTTCCAAGAGTCTTTCTGAAAAATTAAGGAACGCTTAGTCTAAGAATATCTCCTAGTTAAGAATGTAAAATTACAATTTTAACACGTGACTGCAAATTGCCATCAGCAAACATAGTATACAGAAGATTCACTGTATTGGATAGGATTGAACAGTGTAAAAAGAATTCAATTCTTTCTTTTCTTCAATACTTCAAATCCTGTCTATTATCATGGGCCAAACATGCCCTAACCGCATAAAGTGTCCGAAATAAAGCAAAGAAATGTGGAAGAACTAACCCTTGAAGCACCCCAACACTTTCCATAGTCAAGATCCATGGTTCTTGAATGCAATCTTTGCCTTAAATTGCCAATAATCACGAAATTTTAAGTGAAGATCCCCACTGAAACAACACCAAAACTGACGACAAAGGTGCAGAGGAACGGAACTAGCAAATATAAAGATGAAGTTTATTACAAGAAAACACCTAAAACCCACCGACTAATACCTCTAGTTTCCAACTGGAAATAAATAAAAACCAGCAAACATTTTCCCACTTTGAGCATTTCAGTACACTGATATTTCTTTGCACAATGCAAGAACCAACAACTCTAATTCCTCCTTACCAAATTCACTAAATAAATGTGAATGCCAAATAAATTAAAGCTCATCCAATTGCAGCAGTTCTTTCTTTTTGTGGTTGACAGTGAGAGTAAGCATCTGATGCCACACTCTGTGTTTTCCCCTAAATTAAGGAAGAACAGAACAGCACGAAATGTGTAAAGCAATTTAGATAAAGATAGGTAAAAAAAGTTTAAATCTAGAGAAATTCTTACAGTTCCACGTTTCACACAGTTATATTACAAAAAAGGTGGTTAAAAAATGTGAAAAACACACATTAATGGTGTAAAAATGAGATAATGTACAAAGGTTGTGAGCAAGAAAACCCAAATCACATGACTCAACTACAGCAGCATTACCAAATCAGTCACACCAACCTGAGCCCACTGGAATAAGAGAAAATTGGACTACCAAATCCCCCTCCTTTGTACACCAATCATGCTAACCTAACCTCTTGTATGACATCCTATACGACAGAAACGTCACGTAACAATTGGACTGTTTTAAAAAGAGTCAACAATGCTATCCAATCATTTTTTCACACATCTTTTTATGTCAACAAAGATATCAAATTCATCTGACCATTCTTTACGCGCACACTAGTAATTTTTTATAATATTAATGCTTTACCTGATGACCGACATGCCAAATTCCTACCAACTTGAAGGGATATTACTGAACAATTATTTTTAAATTTGTGGGTAGCCCACATTCTTGAAAGTTAATGGGCAAAGGAAAAGTGGTCTTTGGATTGTCTCAAGCTCCACTTTCTTAATTCAAGTAACGTAATTGAATTCAAACCAAAATATCAAGATAATGCTATCAGTTTCACCAAATAAGTAGGTAAGATTTCAATTCAACTAAAGTAAATTGAATTAAATTCGAACCCAAAAGGCTATCATTTTTTACAAATAAATGATCTTTTATTACTGACCTTTATATATGACGATAATGATCAACTAAAGTCACCTTTCCAAGTCACCAAAAGGAAGAACTTGGAACAAATAAAGTGAAAGCTTTGATCAATTAAAAATTCCTTTTCCTGGAAAAAATCTGAGAGGAAAAAACAAAAAAGTGGGATTTTTTTCTTTTTTTAAAAGATTGCAGGATATTTCAGAAAAGTATCTTCTTTACAGGCAACACCACGTGACTACGACATGCACCCCTACCCCATCCCCTCTCTGGTTTCAGTTTTCTTTTATGCATAAGTAACAGCTTCAATGCTCCATATAATCGTGCTTTTCAACGTTCAATGTTGCTCAAAAGTTACTTTTTTTTTTTAACTTCTTTTCTCCATCTTGCTTGCCACTTCTTTGTTGTCAATTTCAATTCAGAACGTCCAATAAGTCGTCCTTTTCATGTCATGTCTGATTCTTCTGGTGAGTATATTTTTCCATTTTTGTTTCTTTATGTGAAAGATCTTGGACATAAGCTAGAAAACGAAAACTAGCCTTTGATGAAATGAATCTTTTTGATTATGAAAATATTCAGTCAATTATTCTGTGAAACTGATTTGTGATCAATCATTTGATGGGATGGGACTGAACAATCCAGAGCTAATAAATGCACTAATAATTGTTAGTTGAAACCCTCCACGTGCAATATATTTGCTGTAAATTTTTTTTTTTTTTTAAATAAAATTGTTAGAGATTAATAAACAAGGTAAATTTATTGATTCCTGAAATAACTAGTTTTATTTTACATAAAACAAAAGTACAAAGTGTCTTCCCAGAAGTAATTCCATTAAATGCAGTAGAAGTTTCTCAATGTTTCCTCTTGCTTACCTTAATTTTGAATTAAATTGGGTGCTAAGTATTTACACTAAACGGATTTTGATTTCACTTTCCAAATAAATTTGAATAGTTAAACATCTCACGCTCAAACAAATTCAATCTTTAATATTAGCAGTAGTCTGTATCTATCGAGTTGTCCCATAGCAATATCAAGTTTAGCTAACAGAAAAAATTAAGGTTGGATATGGTCCGGTTCGATTCGGTTCTAAAGAGAATCGAACCGAACCAAACCGAACCGAACCGAAAATTTCGGGTATTTAATAAGTGAAATCGTTGGGTCCAAATTTAATTTTGGAATCGTTCGGGTTCGGTTCGATTCAGTTCAGTTCGATTCGGTTCTATTCGGTTTTCGGATTCCGTACAATAATTAGTTTCTTTTTTATATTTACAATAATGCTGCATTAATTCGATTATAGCGTATTCAATCTTAACTCTTACAAAATAATGTAGTCCAATATGGTGATGTCTTTTGCATTTTTGTTGTTGAGTTATTCATAAATTTGACTGTTAAAATCACAAGAAGAAAAAGATAGCGAGTTCACAATAGAACAGCAGAAACGACACTACAGTAGAATAAGAGATTTTGGTAAAATTTATGTCAATTTGATTAAGTTGGATTTGGCTGGAAATTTAAAATAATAAAATCATATTTTAGGTTTG